GGCCCTGCCCGCCGGGGGGCCGTGGAGCGGCCCGGGTGTAAAAGCGAGAAACTTAGGGGGGCCCCGCGGGGGAAACGGCCCCTTGGGCCATCTGCCCCCAGCCCTTTGGCCACAATCAGCTCCTCCTCAAACTCTCCCCACTTACGCAGCCGTTCGCTTCGCCGAGTCTAAAAGCCGCCCACACCTTACTGCGTCCTCCTAGAACACCTTGCAGGCCATGGATGCGGAATCCCGTTAAAAAGAGGACCTCAAGAAGTCGGGAGGAGACGTGTCCTCAGGTGTCCACGCCTGCAGGTTTCCAGCCTTCCTAAGATTCTGGCAAGTTCAAAACAAAACTTTCCCCAAGCTCACCCACAGCGGTTTCTCTCTCAAAGCGCTCTATCGTGCCCTCGAACGGGATCCATCCACTCTGCATCGTGCACGGAGAACGACCTTGCTAGGAAAAAGGATTGCTTCAGGCCAAACGGGTCCCTGGGATTCCCGTCTCCTTGGGAGCCAAATTCAGGTCACGGCATTCTTGCGCTGACATCCTCTAACCCTTGGGGCCTTCCTAGCGTGCAGGGCTACAGCTCCCATGATCCCCAGCCAGCATGGCCAAGGGGGCAGGACAGGAGCTGTGGTGGGCTGCAGGGCCAGGATCCAAGGCAGGTTGGGCTACTGCTGGCCTCACGTGGGAGGTTCAGGGACAAATTAAACGGGCTTAGTCCGATGGAGTCCGGTCAGGACACGGCATCTCTCAGCCTAACTCTGAGACCTTCCGCCCTAACAAGGGTGGGCAAAGGAACTGCAGCGGGGTATCCACAGGGTATGGTCAAGAAAGCCAAGGTGGTGCCATGGAAACTGTTTTTTTATGTGCAATTGCACCATTGTGGCGGCCATCCTGACTTTTCTGACCATACCCTGCAAGCACCCCGAAACGCAGGATGGAAGGGGCCTTGGAGAGGAACAGCCGAGCCACGGGAGCTGGGTAGGCAGACGCTGAGAACGCCCGGCCCCCAGGATTCACCACGACCCGTTCACGTTGCAAAGGCGTCGAACCCGAGGTTACAAAGGGAATTGGCCTTCGTTCACACGACACACGTAACCTGGGTACGGGAAATCCATTGGCCGGTCTTGCCCCTGACGTCAGCCACCAAAAAGCCCAAGATCAACCCTAGCCAAGGATGTGACAGGAACGCAGCTTGTGCATGAACCGCAGAAAAAGGTTTCACAAAAGCTTCTGCCCAGGCAGAGCAGATTTCCAAGCTGGTGGGGCCCCCTGGGCATTCTCGGATAACCCCCTCCCCCGTTCCCCCAGCCAAATGCACCACGATAGCTCTGGGGCAGGGGCCGCAGCCTCCTGGCCCGCCCGACATCCGACACAGGGAGGCGAAATGAACCAGGGAGGACATAGCAGCGGAGCACGGAAACTATGGGTCACTGTTACTGTTACACAGCAGGTACTGGAAAACCTCCCCGGGATCTTGCAAAACTCCCGGGGATCCACGTGCCAAACGACCCATCCCTCTTGGTTCTCCCTCTCCTCTTCCGAAATACGGGTTCTTGCCAGGGAAAGGGGAGTCAGCCGGGCCAGGCCGGCTCTTCTACCGAAACAGAGCCTCAGAACCAGCACGGCATCCACATGAACGAACCCAGGGCTGCCCCGGTGGCCGCTCCAGCCAGCAAGCCCAGAGCCATCTGGTCTCCGGAGACGCGGTAGGGGTCTTCGCGGATGATGACGTGGGTCATCCCGGGGGCTGCCAGGGAGAAAGGGAGGAGAAGCGCCATCAGTGGCAAAGCCCAGCCACACCCAGACAGGTTTTAACTTCAGATGTATTCGTGTTGCAAAACTGTGCCGTTTAAGAGGTACGTTCACACAGGGGCACGTTAAAATAGGATTTTAGCATTTCGGTATTGTGTTAATTAAGGCATTTTATAGGCCCAGACAACCAGCTTTCAGGGATCTTAAAACGCTGCAAAAATGTTTTAGCTCCTGGTCTCCTTTACGTATAATGCTCTTATCATCTCACTTTGCATCTCATTTACTGTTATTTTGTAGAAAAACGTGTTTGTTTGTTTTTTAATTTGGGATTTGAAACTTTAGTTCTAAAATGGTTCTGAAACCACAATAAAGGCCAGCTATTCATTCATCTGGAGACGAAGGTTTCTTTTCCAAAGGCTCGACTTTGCAAATTGGTGTTAATTTATCGTGATCTTTGTGTCGTTTACTTTGTGTCATTTACTTTACTGTCTGGCACTCAACCTGCCCTACCTGCAATTAGCCCTCAGCTTTTTGCACCCAAACCCACCCGGTTTCACTCAGACTGGAACACCCCAAATCTTGGCGTCTGACCAGAAACCTGCTGGACGCAAAGACGAGGAGCTGACTGCAATTCCGAGGGAAGGACGTTCCCAAGCCTCAATTGTGAGATTTTTTTTTCCTGCTAAGTACTGTAGTAGAGTTTTTATTTCCTTTTGGTGCATCTACGGGAATACACAACTGGGCCACCAGATGTCCCTTCAGCCCTCAAGATGCAGTTAAGCCCAAAGGAACGGCAGATCCTGAGAAACTGGAATGTAATTCAGGCGATCGGCGCATCAGCTGAAGAGGGGAACAACTGGGGGCTCCTCGTGGCCCACGCAGCCCGCCCAGGGCCACGTCCGGAGGGCCAGCAACACCAATGAATGCTGCTAATGGCGATCCTACCATTGTTACAGGACCCTACATTATCGGCGTGGAAAACAGCTGCGCGTCATACCCACGGCCTCTTTCAAAGGCCTTCTATGCCTGCAGAAACACCCTCAACATATTCCACCCTTAAGATCTGGAAAAAGAGGGAAGTCCATATATTGTGAAAAGAAAATGAATGCAACTCACATCGAATGCATTAAAAGAAATGTCCTGGCATTGCTCGCTTATTGAGGCGGTTCTACAAAGGGGCTAAGCAAATCCATGGGAGATTCCCCCGCCCCCCCCCGTGCCGAGAGATGCTTTGTCTCCAAATACTGAATGCTGGGGATAAGATCATCACGGGAAGAAAAGCTGTAGCGGCTTGAGGTCTTCCTGGAAGCAGGGCCACAACTCTGTGACCAGAGCGCTCCCCCTCCTTTACATGGACTGCGTGTGCGATGCACGTAAAAAGGGGGCAGGGCTCCGATCACACGTGGCGGATGCCATCTTGATGTTTCTGACCCCTGCTGTGGGCAACCTGCACAAGTTCAATAATATATTATCATCATGATGTTCAGATTGGCAGGTTGATGAGCGGATAGGTACCTTAGAGGTCACGTAGTCCAACCCCCTGCTCAGTGCTGGATCTGCTACAGCACCTCCAATATTGAACCGTCCAACTTTCCCCTAAGACCTCCAGTGAATTCACTTCTTCATGTAATCTTACGGGAGTCTGTTTACAGCCCGTTTTCAAGGTACTTAAAAACAATTAATTTGATCCCTTCTTTAAATTTCAGTGGGGTGACGGTACGAGAAAGGGATAAACCGGGAGGAGCTCGCAGACCTACCGCCATACTGGTTGCCGTAATAATCCGAGCTGACGTACATCGCCTGGTGCGAGTCGAGGGGAACCGTCTGGTAATAGTCGTCGTAAGGGTCATACAGGTGAACCTGGAGCAGAGAAATGAGAGAGCAGCCGAGCATCAGCAACCGAGAGCCCAAAGCGACTTGGGACATGGGTCCCCTTGGGCTGCAGAACCAGGATCACAGCATTGGAAGGGACCTCAGAGGCCATCAAGTCTGACCCCCCACACCCGGCAGGATTCCCTACGCCATACGCGAGAGATGGCTGTCAGGCCCGCAAGGTTGGAAACCAAAGACACGCAAGCGAATGCTACTTTTTATTATAAGGTTATGGTAACAGAGTCTTGCAAGTCTGAATGCACTTCCCCCTCCCTCCCTTTATCTTTGGGAAATCTAGGGAGGGTCAAGCCTGAGACACTTTCTCAAATTACATGTCTGCTTCGGACTCAGATTTCTCTTATCCGACTGTGACTTTGGTTGCAGCTCTTCCTCCTGTCCCTTCTTGCATTACAATGACTCTCCAGCCTCTGTTTGAAAACCTCCAATGAAAGGGAAGAAACCCCTCCACGCAGTAACCTGTTCTGCTCACTGACAGCTCTTCCTGTCAAGACGTTCTTCCTAATGTCTCATCTGTAACTCCACCCTTGAGGTTTCATCACATTCATTGTAGTCTTACCCTCCGGAGCAAGTGAGAGGAAGCCCGAACCTTCTAGAACAGCGTTTTTCCAACCTTGGCCACTTAATGTATGGACTTCAACTCCCAGAATTCCCTAGCCAGCATGGGTGGACTTCAACTCCCAGAATTCCCCAGCCAGGAATTCTGGGAGCTGAAGTCCATTCGTCTTAAAGTTGCTGAGGTTGAGAACACTGGGCTAGGTGTTCTGGCCCACGGGGAAGCTCAAAAATAAGAAGAAAGCCAGCACTCTGCCTTGCTCCGTCCCCTATTTTCTTCCTGATAGCCCTGCATTTCTTTACTCATGAGGGAAAAAAAGCAACCCCCCCTCCACAAAAAAAAGAACCTGGTCATTTTGAGGCAGAGCTATAAAGCCACCTCTTTGCTTAACCCAGGGTTTCTCGACCTCAGCAACTTTAAGATGTGTAGACTTCAACTTCCAGGATTCCCTAGCCAGCATGTTGAAGTCCATCCATGCCGGCTAGGGAATTCTGGGAGTTGAAGTCCATACATCTTAAAGTTGCTGAGGTTAAGAAATGCTGGCTTAACTGAACCACCAGTGCAAAGGTATTAGGGCCCTATGGTGGCTTCCTAGCCGTGGGGCGGGCTAAGAGCCAAGAGGTGAGATGAAATGGGAGGCCTTATCCATGAAAAGGTGATCTGTCCATAGCTCTGGAGGCCTCCACCATCACAAAGTGGAAACCACAATGTTTGCAATTTGCCTGACCAGAGCTGAGCTCAGTCCTCTGGAAGCACGGCAGCAGCGTGTTATCAGAACAGCACAAAGGGACACAGGAGCAGCGCCAAACCCACGTGTCACGTGGCAGGCCCCCAAAACTGATGGAAAGAGGAACAGCAAATGGATGACCACTTAACCCCATCTGGGCTCCTGGCTGGCCACACAATTTTTTCCCCCTTTCTTTCCAACATCTCTGGCTCTTTTTTAAATCGATCCAGCGTTCCAGGCATTTCTGCATCATCGCAAGAATTGCACTTATTGATCTGTAACCAGACGGGGCTGAAAACTGGAAAGTGATTCAGCAATAGTTCAGCAGCTGATGGAAAATGAGTGCTCAGGGTCTGCACCAAAGCTCTGGGGAGCATCCAGACTTGAAACTGGGGTGGGTGGGGTGACTTAATTTGATGTGTAAAGGACCCTCCCACTCAGCTCTTCTCAAATTGTAGAAGACCCCCTGTAAAATGTCACACCGATGCAACTTTAACAACTTGACACGTGAGGCTTGGATCTCATCAGGGAACTGGGCACCCTCCCATTTTAATGAGATGGCTATTTTCAAGGTCATCTTGACCAGGCCTTCGTCCCACGAAGCTTAGGCACTCCTAAGCTTCTGACTCTTTTGAACTGGCTTACGACTTTTAACACGAAAACATTTCTGGAGGTAAGGCTGGTTCTGCGTCTTGCAAATGAAAATGCTCTCCCTGAAACTTGAGAAATCTGACGTTCAGCTCAGAACATCTCCCTGGTTTTTGTTTTATTTTGGGCAGCAAGGACGAGAAAGATGGATAGAAGCAAATTTATACTTAGCCTCTCAAAGGACAGGAATGCCTACAATCAGATCTGCAGCACTCAAGGCGGAGATCTTTAAGGTGAAGCCTTCAAAGACCTCCTCAAATTATTATTTTTAATGTGGCAGAGAGAGGGGAAAATACCACATATGCCATTCATCAATTATGGTTAAACCGATTAATTAAAGCCGTGTTTCTCAACCTTGGGCACTTTAAGATGTGTGGACTTCAACTCCCAGAATTAATTCAGAAACACTGAATTAAGGTAAAGGCTACAAGAAGACCATGAGGTTTCCTGGCTTCCCAATCCCCTTGGGATCTCCTGCTGGCCTCCCATCCAAGTCTTAACAAGATCCATACCTGCTTGGTCTGCCAGGATTGCTGGCAAATGTGTTCAGCCCACTGAAAACGACATTCAATCATGTTCAGCCACACCCACTCCCAGTGCACCTGCCGAGCCCAGAAGAAAAGAGACCCAAAGGAGGCTCACCTGGGTGGCTTTAGCTTCAAAAAGGGCCATCTTCCAGGCTCTGTGGACAAAAACAGGAAGAGCAGGTACAGTCATTGCAAAAATAAACTTCGGGGATCTCACAGGGCTCCCTTGTGGCTTTCGAAAAGCTTTCGAGGGCTGAGTCTTTTAAGGACTCTCCGGGCCCTTTAAGGGGCCTCCTGGATAAGGAAGCCCGAAGCCCTGCGGACAGGGCGCCTCTAAAGCAGCCTTCCTGATCCTCCAGGTGTTCTGCCAATGGGCTGGGTCGCTTCCCACTCTCTGCAGCTAGCACAGGAGAATGGGAGCTGGAGCCATCCAGAAAGTGCCTGGTGGGGAAGGCTGAGCTGCACCGAGTGACAGCAGTCTATCTGAAGCTGGAAAACAGAAGCCCAGTCGGAGCATTTAGAAAAGCCCAAACACTCAAAGGACACCCTTCGAAGCTGCCTGGTGGTTCTCCCACGTCGGAACAAAACAGGGCGTTTAGTTGACTTTGGAGCAACGCTCTGGAACCAATCGATTTGAGATGGCAACGTTCTGCCCACCTCTAATTTCCTTAACGTTTCCTGTGCTTGTGAGATGGGGTGTGTGTGTGTGATGGAATGGAAT